CAGAGAAAAAAAAAGAGCTTTTAACTTACATTTATAACAAAGAAAAACTCTCTCTCTCTCTCTCTCTCTCTCTCTCTCTCTCTCTCTCTCTCTCTCTCTCTCTCTTCGGTGTAACATAATGTGTTCAGGGTGATTCTCTGCTCTAAATAAAGCAAGTGAAACAGACTCTTTACATTAATACTAAGATCCTTTTATTTTCTAGATAAACCACATGGAGCAGCCCCAACTGTTTCAATAGCTCTGGCTAAAGCCAAGGCAGAGACTGACACCTTGAGGGTGAAATGTCAATATCTGCAGGAGAAAATAGAAGATTTGACAAAAGAACGAGATTTCCTTAGACAACAGCTGTCAGAAGGTAGTTGTTGTGAAAGTTTCGTTGTTTTAGTGTTAAAATGTATAACTACTTTTTTTCTGTTATTTGGAGTGAAGTTAACATGCATACTAAAGTCACAAATGCAGGCATGCAAGTATATGAGTATTAACTGTCCCCCCTCCCCCCCCATTAAAATGGACAACATGCCTGACAAAAATAAAGATAAGCCTGCAGACATAGCAAAAAAAATGAAAATCTCTCAAGAAGATTCAGAAAGTGACCCCTCTGATTCTGACTCTTCTGACACTTCTGACTCGGAGTCATGTAGCTCAGACTCTTCAAGGGAGAAGAAGAAAAGAAAGAAGAAGGCAAAGAAAGTAAAGAAAAGATTAAAAAAACAGAAGAAAAACAAGCAGATGAGTAAATTCTATCAAAAGGGTAGGTTGTGCAAATTTAAATAATTTAATAATTGTTTTTATATCAGGAATGTGAAATTGGTATATGTGTCGTGTAGTTTACCATTAAATACTCCTTGACACATGAATGGCTTCTTAATGTGATCACTAGAAAGCTAACAATTGCAGAAATTTATTTTCTTTTTGAATATTTTAAAATATTTTTTATTGTCTATTTTAGTTACTGAACCATAGCAGGTGGTAAAGCGGTACAAATCAGTTCTGGAGATTTTCAAAAGAGGAAGCAACATGGCAGATGCATTCAGAAAGTATGGTGTGGACCGGAACACAATTGTGCAGAGTGCAGCTATTGCTGAACTGGTGATTGCAGCACCAGAGAAATATGAGGAAATCAATGACAAACATGCAAAGGGAGAGAAATTATCAAACATAGCCCAGAAATGTCAAGATGCAGTTATGGCCGATGAGAACATTGCAAACAAAATACAAACGATGAAAGCTGATGGGAAGTTGCTTCCAATAAAAAAATAGTTAATTTCCATGTAAAAAAAGAAGAAGAAAAAACAGTCAAAGAAGGACTTTAAAACCCTAAGATAAAAAATATCCAAATACATTTTTCCCCATGTTTAATTTCAGTTATGTATCTTTCCTTGTTTAGGCCTGAATTGATAGTGCTGCACATGGTTTGTTTCTGTGTAGAAACAAGTTTTTGTTCTTAAATATTGTGCTTTGTTTTGTATTTTTTTGTGCTGGCAAAGATTGCCAATGTTGACCAGTTATGTAAGGTAATAAAGGTTCTGAAAATGTAAGTGATGAATGGCTTTCACTCATTTAAGGTTCAGTAAAATCAATAATGACTGCTTTGTAACGAACCTACAAATGCTAGTACACTTTACAATAAGGTTCACAAATTCCATTAATAAATGCTTTGTTAATAGTAAGTCATGTTAATAAAGGGTTTACAAATGCTAGTAACACATCAGTTAATGTTGAAATACACTTTACAATAAGGTTCACAAATTCCATTAATACATGCTTTGTTGAATGCAACTAATAATAGTAAAGTACATATAAACACGAACAACATATCTGTTAATGTTCAGATGGTTTCCACTTCAAAATTATGTTTACAGCCCAAAATCAATGCCTTATTATTAAATAATACTGATAAGGTACACAATGCCTTTTTACCTCTAGGGTAAGATGGCGAGTTAGAAATATTCACACTTAGTGTGTCAACTGCTACGTAAACTAATGTAAATATGTACAGTAAGTTAACCTTAAAACATTAAGGCTATTTACAGGCATTCGTTCATGTTAACTAATGCATTAATGTTAACTAATTGTGCTGTTTACATGAATACATGTATTATTATGTGTGGGAGTTAACGTTAACAAAGATTAACTAATGCTGAACAGAGGTGTTGATCATGGTTAGTTCATGTTAACTAATGCATGAACTAATGTTAACTAAATGCGCTGCTAATGTGAATAGATGCAATAATATGTGTTAACATTAACAAAGATTAACTAATGCTGAACAGAGGTGTTGTTCGTGGTTAGTTCATGTTAACTAATGCATGAACTAATGTTAACTAACTGCGCTGTTAATGTGAATAGATGCATTAATATATGTGTGAGTTAACGTTAACAAAGATTAACTAATGCTGAACAGAGGTTTTGTTCATGGTTAGTTCATGTTAACTAATGCATTAACTAATGTTAACTAATACAATCTTATTGTAAAGTGTTACCATCAGGGGTTATTACAAACACTCGATGGTGGTTTAAAGTGAGTTTAGTATTTTATAAATTGTCTTATGTAGCATGATGCTACAGTGTGAATGAATGGTCACGTAATGTGCGTTTTCCTTGATGCCTCGCTAGGGCCAATCACTGATTTAGGCACATAAAGCATGCTGCATGCTTATTGACTCACTGACTTTGATGAGATTAACCCCTTAGGTATCGAAATTTGGCACCAAATGACAAGACATTTTTCGATACTCGATGGTATCGAGGCAATTTGGTCAGTGCCTAAATAGTATTGAACTCGATACCCAGCCCTATTATACAGCAGACCTTGAATATGACATGCCACATAATCAGGAAATGTTCCTTTACTACAGTCATGGAAAACCTGAAAATATCATGACATTTTAATGTTGATTTTCTAAAACGTAATGGAAACATTTAAAATTTAAGAAGCTATTTAGATTAGTTTTTTTCTTATGGAAGAGTGTCTTTTATTACTGTGACAACAGTAGCATACTTTTGTTTGTTTATTATTATTATTTATTGTTTACTACCAATTCACATATAGTTAAATAAAATAGTAAATGTTATACAGTAAGCATTCCGAAGTGGTATTCTATATACGTTCACATTGTTTTCCCATGGTGGTCATGGGAATGTAAGGTTCTGCAGCATTTTTACACTGCTGAAAAATCGGAAGAGCTGCATGCAGCACAGTTCACACTGCAGACATTCCCGCTCTGCTGGCTCCACACAGCTTGACTCAGTTGATTAGCTCCCTCGTGTCAGACGGTAGTGCACAGTTGAATTATTTTGCTCTCACTGTAACTTTCAAAAACCAAACACGTTGAAAATCCAAGCTGTATGTGTAAACCTCACCAACTCTGGCTGCATTTTTCTCGACTGTTGTCATGTTAATGGCCTGCGGCGCCGCTGTAATTCTCCAGAGATGAAGCGAGAAACACTGATGTGCGCCGTTTCTCCACAGAGAGAAAAACAAATACAGACAAATCAATCGAGTCTGCGCTTGGCAGTTTAGCGCATTCCCACACTGTATTGCTGTCACGTGTTCTACCTTGTTCATTCTGTAACGTTTATTATTATTTATTAGCTCTAAAAAGGGGAATATTTATGACGAATCATAAATGGTTATGATTCATAATAAATATTTAGATTATATCTTCGAATTAACTGTAGCAGAATCAATATTACAATTATTTGATCTGTCCGTCCACCGAGCACACAGGTAGATATCACACTTGGCAGGCAGGTGAAGCAAATGACTCACTTGATTGAACCAGAATCATTTAAGTCATACTCAAATGGTAGACAAATATTTTCCCCTTAAACTTTTCTGAAGAACTCTAATTTAATGAAATTTGCACTCTTGTTTTGAGATATTTTTCACCTGCATGTGACTACGCCAGTGTGCCAGAATCACGTTAAAACACAAGTGTCTGTCTGGTAAAGGTTTATTAACCTTGAAATGAAACCCGGGCCGTGGAGGCCATGGCCTCTGATACACCATGTGTAGCAGAAAATGAAAAGGCACTTGATATACAGTCTGGGGGTAATAGACTCCTCTGGCTCTGACTGATAAGTCATTACAAACCTGTACCTTTTTATAAATCAGTTTTTGTCCTGGTCTTTTCATGCTGGGATTGATTTTTCTTAAATCTCTGTTTATTTGATCTGTTATTTATTGATTTTAGCTCCCTCTCTCTCTGTATTTATATGTTTTATGCATGTAAAAAAAAATACTAATAATAAACTTTTAGACCTTTTTTGTAATTGTTACAATTAAACAGCTTAATTTTAAACAGTATATTTAGGCTATTGTTTTATATTTCCATACAGCAAACTTAATTTATGAAGTCCATTTTCAAAAAGTATGGTTTTGCTGTTGTTTTTAATAAAGCCCACTTGGTTTCATATTTCATCTAATGCAGTGACATTCACATATATTAAGTGTGGCTTAAATGTCCAAATACTTTCAGGGCCACTGTGTGTCTGGTTTCTTGTTTTGACTTACAGTGGGGAAAAAAAGTATTTAGTCAGCCACCAATTGTGCAAGTTCTCCCACTTAAAAAGATGAGAGAGGCCTGTAATTTTCATCATAGGTATACCTCAACTATGAGAGACAAAATGAGCATACTACCCAATATATTATACCATATATTCATACACTATTCATCATAGCTCATTATAAATTATGCAGTCATTTTATTTATCACCAAATTTTGTGGTGTGAAACACACCATCTGCAGTTACTGCTGAATGTATTTATTTTCCGTTTTTGATATTCAGTGTTGATTAATTGCTTTAAATATTCTCAAAGGGTTAAGAGGTCTGTTTCCTTAATTTACCCAGAAGGCTGTGGACATTTGCATGGTTCTAGGTTACAGATCTCTGACTGTCAGCTTGAAATTAAAACTTTTAATGTAACATGGAACACATAATAGTGGTCAATCAGAATGGCAAAGTTTGCAGCAAACATGCAGTTTGAGTTTTGTGCATGCTATTCTTTGTGAATTAATTTTTTTGTGAACAGCTAGTGTGGTTGTTGCGTTTAGACCCAGTGCAGTCCAAAAGCAGGTGTGTGCTGTACTGAATGACTTTTACTCAAGCGATTGTACAATGTGGAGAAATATCACACTCAAACACTCTGACCTGCCTGTAATGATCCCATAAGGGAGCCCAACAGCTTTGAGGTGGTCTGACCTTTATTAGGGGCTGATATGGGCTCCAAGAGAGCTCAAAGAGACTCAACCCATCTTCCCAAATGGAAAGGGTGTGAAAGTAGGCCATGGTAATGTCTGTACCGAGAATCACTCCAAGTAATCCTTTTTTTCCAAACTGGTACTTCAGGGCAGCACCAGTTATTTCTTCCACAGCGCTCAGGGAGACCAGAGACCCACAGGAAGAGAGAAAGAAAGAAAGAAAAACAGAAAGAAAGAGAAAGAAAGAAAGAAAGACAGACAGAAAAAATTAACAAATGACAGAAGACAGAGACCAACATAAAGTATAAACAACATCAGGATTGATTGACAAATGACAAAGAAAGAATGATTGAACAAGAATGACAAAGAATGAATGACAGAAATAAAGAACAACAAAGAAAGAACAAACAACAAAAATAAATAAGGAACACCAGATTGAACAAACACATCAAAAGAAGGAATGACAGAAAGAAAGGGACAACAGAATGAACGAACAAACAAAAGAATGACAGAAAGAACAAATTAATCAAAAAAAGAAAGAACAACAGAAAGAAAGACAGAGAAGAAACAAAGATTGCACAACATAATGAACAAGCTACATAACGAATGAAAAACAGAATAACAGAAGGAAATAAAAGAATAAATAAACAAACAAAGAAAAAGAAAGAACAAGTGACAAAGATCTACATAATAAAAACAATAAGAAAGAAAGCAAGATAGAAAAAGACAGTGAGTGCACAAAAGAAAAAAAAGAAAGAAAGACAACTAACAAATGAAAAAAAGCCAAACAGGAGTTTGAAAAATAAAAAAATAAACACAAATGTGAATGACAGAAAAAAACTACAAAAGCTATAAATGAGAGAGATCAAAAAAAGGGAGAAAAAAAGGAACAAAAGCAAACAAATTAACAAGAGAGACAAACTATAATTTTGTTTGGAAAAAAAAGAATGAATGAACAATAAAATAACTAATGGAATAAACAAAGATGAATAAACATGATAAAAAGAAAAAGAGAGAAAAGACAACAATGCATTAAAGACAACAAACAAACATGAGAGAATGAGCAAGAAAATAAAATAACAGTATGAACAAACAGGAAAAAAGAAAGAAAGGGAGAGAGTTAAAGAAAGCAGATTCTCAATCTGGCTGGTATCATTTCCTCTTGGATTAGTTGTCTGGCTGAGTGGCATCTCCTGAGATTGGCAGGGTCTGATAGGGAGCAGTTCACACTTGTCACAGGCTCAATAACACCAAAACAAAGCAAGTGCAGTGGTGAGCAATGCGGCCGAATCTCTCTCTCTCATTCTTCAGTCTTCCTCATTCGCTCCATCTCTTCACATCTGGTGAGAGATGTGA